AATAAAAATTAGACATATTTTCAAAAATTGGAAAAAAATTTCTATGGAAAAAAATAGCAATCAAACATTCCAGGTAGGAATTTCGATGGAAAATAAATATAATCAAACACACTCGAAATCTTTTGAGTGTGGGAAATGAAATGCGGTCTAAATTTATTACTTTAATACCTTTAAAATTTTACTTTCAATGTTTATCAATAGATTTTCATTAGTAATTATTTTACTCTTTTATATTATTTCCAACAAAACCATCCATTGGGAAATTTTGTTACTAAATTATTTAACTTATTATTTTTTTAATTTTAAAATTTTTACCAACGGATTATTAACGAAATTGTACCAACGAAAGTCTTCCGTTGGCAATTCTGTCGTTAATTTAGTATTTAATTTTTAATAATAAAATAATAATGATGTGTTGGTAATTTGTTGTAATTTCGTTGGTAATAACAATGGAAGTCATCCGTCAATAAAATTCTGTCTCTATTGCCTCATTTTCTAGCAGTGTTTTATCTCTAACAAATTCTAATTCAGAACAGTGGATAGTCATTAATACAAATGGTTCAGACCATTTTCCTTAATTTTGAATATTTTCAATAGTTTTGATTTATCTTATGCGTACAAGGCACGGTGAGTTGGTGTTATGAAATCCAATGTTGAGTTGATTCAACATAATTTTTGTAGGTTGACTCAGAATGTGCATCGTCCAAGGTAGCGATATTAAATAACTCAAAAAAGTCAAAGCTAACTGGAATGGAAATTGTCAAGCATGCATGTGCTCGTGATGCGGCTATCTATGTTAAAAATGTTTTGACTTTTGAAACAATTGAATATTAGAGCATGAGTCCTTGCATCAGAGGGGCAGTGGACCTGTATTGTGGCCTCTCTAATGAGTTTATTATTTCATGATGAGGGTGAGGCAAGGAGAATAGCCATCATATTCAATATTTTTGATTGGTTCAGTTTGAATAGATTATCAAAATTTGAGATTCCCATCTTGATGTTATCATTTCATTAAAACAACACAAAATGACAATTTTTGAAGTGCATTTTACAATTTCTATTGAGAACAAGAATAGTCTTAAGGAAATCTCTGAGGCCTTGTTCTGATGATTGCTGCTGGCTATTGAAGTCAAGGAAACTTGGGACTATCTAGCTGAACTTGTAGATGATTAGATTGATCTTGATTCTTGGAGATGTCATTTGTAATTAACAAGTTAAACTATCTCATTAGTATGCAAATAGGGTCTTCTATGATTCACCTTTAATATTTCTAGTATTATACTCTAAATTTAGATATTCCAATCAATTAATTTGTTAGATCAGTTAAACCATAGTGTCTGAGATTCCATTTATTCAGGGATAGATCTCTGAAGGGTGATGGTGCCAATGTTATTGTTAAGTTCGAACCGGTGACATGTTGTTTTTATAAGCGTGCTTCCAAAATTAAAAGGAAAGTCGTGTTTCTTGGAATAACACTTCTATTAGTGGAGCCTTTCGTTTGGATCTTGACATGTGGTGACTTACCGGCCGTTTGATCTGATTCTAGACGTTCCAGCTATTTAACTCTTGAGAGACTCTTGATC